CAGGGAGTTGTTGATACATTAAGATAGAGTATTTGATTAACATCTATACCCTTCTATAACAGCAGAACAATATTTGGTTGGAAATCTCCCATTACCAGGCAAAAAATGTATTACACAAATAAGAATACGCTTTCGCTGTTTAAAGAAAACCACGCTAAAATATTTAGCTCAACTGACCGAGTATATCCATTATGTAATTTAAAAAATCAACTATGAACTGGAGCACCACATGTTTTTCTCTTTAAAGTTAATAAGTGAAAGGGAATTTTTTCGATAAAATTGGATCCAATCATCTTGCTCTGGAGGCTCTGTTGTCTAAGACGACAAAGAATAAATTCAATGCATTGTCCTGTACAAGTTTTACAGGGCTGCACAAGAGAAGAAACACTAAGAAAAGAGAGCCGTATGTAAATAGATATGTAAATGAATGATCACCTGTAAATAATTAAATCATATTTCCTAAGCAATTATGCACCAGGGTGAATCCTATGTAGGGAATTGGCCCCCAATAAAAGGCTTGTTATTGTTGTATTTGATTAACATGTCAATATTGCCCTGTTGAAAATTAGGAAAGACAAACTTCAGGATAACACAGCAATTTATTTAAGGCAAGAACAAACTATTAATTATATTAAAAATATATAAACAATGATGGAAGTTACAGAGTAGCAAAATATCAACATAAAAAATGATACTGTTAATAAAATAATAAATACTTTGCTACAATATAATATCCATGCTCAACCCCAGCAAAGTTAGTTTCCTGATAATTCCTTGTTGATAAAATCATCTCCCCAACTCTATAACTGTTCTGCTGCTGTGTAGATTGAGAAGATCATGGAGGTGGCTCGGCAAATCTCACCCAATGTGGTCTTCTTCGCCCCCAAGAACATGGACCACCAAGATGTGAGTATTGCTTGGTTCTTACATGTGCTTGCTGTTCTGGGGTGGAATTGTGTTGTTGTGTCTTATCCCCTTGTGTAAAGATTACACGAATTCCAATGGAATGGGGTGTAGGGGTCCAGTTTTGGTTGATCATGGCACACTTTGGTGAAAGTCTGACTTTGCCTGTAATTTGAGGCCGTTCCTACCATGGAAGCCTTTGCTGCCGACTCTAACATGAGTACAGATGCAGCTCCTTCCTATCCTTGGAGAAGAAACTTTGCTGAGGTTTATCAATCAGGTCAGTTAAGCTCAGGATTTTTAAAAGGGTGGAATTGTGGCTTTATATGGACACATTGCCAGGAATAATACTTCAAGATTAAATGGAAAGGTAGAGTGACAAACTTTGGAGAATATAGCTTTTTCTAAGGAAATGGGAGTTTGCAAGCTGTATATTCTGAAGAGATCATCTAGTGAATCTATACTTTGAAGATTGAAGGAAGGAAGAGGTTGGTCAAGGAATGATTGGGTCAAGCCATTGAAGATAGAAAATAACAACAAAATCTGCCCCACTTGCCCAAAATGTAGCTTGTCACCTGCAGCTCCAGAACACATTTTGGCTTGCATTAGATGCACTAAACAGGACTTTTGGGAGAGGCCGCCGCTTATCATAAAACAACTTGAGGAGCATGAACTCATGGAATTCATGTAATCTTTACACAAGAAGATAAGAAACAACAACATGATTGGGTTGATGTTATAATAGAATGGTCTGGAATTAGAAGAGATGAAGAGACTGGGTGAAATAGCATTCCAAGACCAACCTCCATGTTTGAGATGGCACTACATGTTGATGGCTATAGTTACAGTTGTGGTCAGTGAGGTTGTGGGAAGATTATATTCATGTACATAGAGAGGCATCTCTCCCTTTAATTTGGCCCTTGCCACTTCTCCAGCTTAAACACCTGTTTGTCAATTTCGAGAGATTTCATGACCCCTATTGTAGGATGTTATGAAATTGAAGCCAACAATGCTGTTACCAAAACGACACACACCATTTATTTATTTAGATTTGGTTTTGAGTTAAGAAAGAAGATTTGGTGTTTATTACCTTGTATCTAATTTATAATCCAAATTGTACCTAATCATTTTCAATATTGTAGTTGAATAAGGCCATTGCTCTCCAGACCAGAATATGGTTCCTTTGCAGGATAACAGAAAGACATCTTGTCAACATTTCTAATATCAAGAAAAAGGCATCTCCTTATCGTGTAACTGAAAGTTTCTGATTGCTTGCGCCATCTGTCGGAATAAATATCAACTATTCTGTTGATTTTTAATTATTCACACACACACACAAAGCCTTTATTAAGACCCCATTGGTCTTACACAGATCCTCCAGAGTGTAGACAATAATGATCAGGATGAGTGGAGTTTTATATGTACAATATTGCATGAAATACAGTAAAAATCATGGTCTAACAAAAGAAGAAAAAAAGTTAAGATTAATTATCATTATTATAATGGAAAGACTAATTCATCAGATCCGCTTTCTTCATAACTCTTCTGAAGAAATTATATACAGATATATTGTCCATCAGACTTGATAGAAGAGAGTGTACGGTGAAGGCGGCCTATCTCCCTATCTCAGAAACAAGAGTTTCTCTCTCCGTCTTAAGATATATACATTCTTGATTTTTCACATTGATATTAGAATATCATTAATTCTCTCACTATAAGATTTGAAATACCTTTTATAAAGACTACTTTTAAATAAAATAATCCCTTGTATCAATATTGAGTAAAAATATCAGGCCTCCAGGGAAAAGTATATTCTCAAAAACCTTTTAATCTCTATCTCCCAGGCATGAACACCCTTCTAATGGAGAAAACATGGTATAATAATGGTTTTACCATGTTTTCTTTTGTAGAAGGGCGTTCGTGCTCGAAAGCTCTAGAGATTAAAAAGGTTTTTTGAAAAGATACTTTTTCCTGGAGGCCTGATATTTTTACTCAAACACTGCTTTTATTTTTTAAATATAAGGTTTGATCAAAAAGTTCAGGGAATTAGTAAAAAAAAAAATTTCTGAAAGAGTTTTCGAAAAATAAAAATTATCATAGTCAAAATACCTCATTCTCTCTCTCTCTACTAGAAAATATTTATATCTTTTCAATATCTCAAATAATAAGAATTTTATAAGAATTTTTTCAAAGAAAAGAAACAAAGGCGCGGCGTTTTTTTACAATGGATCTTAAAAGTGAATAAAGGGTATGCATAAAGTTTTGTCAAAAATTAGGAAAAACTGCGTCAGAAACGTTTAAAATGTTGAAATTGGCATTCAGGGAGGTAGCCTTATCACAATCAAAAACGTTGTGCAAAGTGGTTTGCCCGTTTCAAATCTGGTAGAGAGTCAACCCAAGATGACGCACGCCAGGGAAGACCTCCTTTCGAAAATCATGAAGAACTGACCCAAAATATTGGTGCTTTAATAAAGGAAAACACTAGGACAACGATCAGAGAACTAGTAGAAGAAACAGGGGTTTCCCTATAGAACGTGTAAAAAAATATTGACCGAGGATCTTGGACTTGAAGGTCGAACTGTTTCTCTCATGTGTAGAATGTAGTGCACTTACAGTAAAAGCAGTCGCCTACTTCTACCCACCATGATTATTGTGGCCTGTACCACGTGTACTAGGGATAATTAAAAAATATATATATACATATATATATTGCATATTGTTGTTTGGGCGGATATGTAAATAAGATGCTAAATGTTGTGCAGATCCTTTCCTTCGCCCGGCCAGAAGAAAGAGTGGAGCTCCAAATCACCTGTATAGACAAGGCAGTTAAGGCCATCACTGCATACTATGGGGACTTCCCATATGAAATTTCTAATGCCATTGCATCTTGATAATGTCCTTAAATTATCTTCCATTCTCACTCAGATTCTGTAAATTTCTTCATCCATATCCCATCTTGTACATCCCAACGGCTTGTAGCTTCCCTCTTTAAAGAAATTTACTTTGAGAGATAAAAAGATAAGTTATTATTTATTTTTTTTTATAAATGCTTTTTCTTTCCTCTTAATAATGCGTAAAACAAATCTCTTTTATCTTACCAATATATTTTTTTCTTTTATCGGAAACAAGTTTTATATTGGTTTTTATATCGATGATGAAGTTTTTATTTTTCTGTATTTATTTCTTCGCCAACATTCTTTGGTCAAATTTTGTAAATAATAAAATGAATTAGTTCAAAATAAAAATTTACTTTTTAAAAATTATTAAGTTGTTTTTAATATAGTTATATATATATATATATATTAGATAATAAAAGGCATATATTGGATTTGAAAAATATTTATTTTGCCAATATTTCGGCTGGCTGAACGCCAACCTTTATCGAGGCATTACATTTTTGTATACACAAACTCAGCGCCGCATAGTGTTATAATATCACAGTTGAAATCAATTAAAATACAGAGTAGGTGGGAGAAATTTGTGCATGAAAAAATTATTATAAAAAATAAAAAATAAAAAATGCAACTAAAAATGTAAAATATCTTTAAAAATAAAAGGAAAAAAGTTCTATCTTATATTTTAAAGATATTTTACATTTTTAGTTGCATTTTTTATTTTTTATTTTTTATAATAATTTTTTCATGCACAAATTTCTCCCACCTACTCTGTATTTTAATTGATTTCAACTGTGATATTATAACACTATGCGGCGCTGAGTTTGTGTATACAAAAATGTAATGCCTCGATAAAGGTTGGCGTTCAGCCAGCCGAAATATTGGCAAAATAAATATTTTTCAAATCCAATATATGCCTTTTATTATCTAATGAATTAAGTATGGATTGCTCTATTTTCAAAATATATATATATATTTTTTTAAATAGAGCAATCCATAAATAAATCTTTAATTAAAAAGGCATATAATACAATACAATGCAGCTTATGATTGTAGAACGAAGTTTTGAAATTATACAGCAAATGTTTCTTTTGAACAAAAACCAAAATTTATTTTAAGGAGAAATAACGATTATTTCTAAGCTTTGGGATGAGGTATGAAAGGATGAATTGTGAAGAGTAATGATAAACGGAAAAATAAAGTGTCCAGGGATGGGAATCGAACCCAACAGTGTTCCGCTTACCGGGCAGATGCCATGTCCACTAGGCTACCCTGGACATATTTTTATATTTTCCCATCCCTGGACATTTTATTTTTCCATTTATCATTACTCTTTACAGTTCAACCTTTCATACTTCATCCCTAAGGTTAGAAATAGTCGTTATTTCTCTTTAAAATAAATTTTGATTTTTCGTTTAAAAGAAACACATGCGGGATAATTTTCAAATGTCGTTCTGTAAAAAGGCATATATTAAATCAAAATATCATTTATTTTACCAATATATGCCTTTTTAATTAAAGTTATATACAGTTAAACCTGTCTATAGTGCTCCCTCTTGGGACTCACCAAAATAGGGTGCTATAGAGGGGGATGCTATAGACAGGTCACTTTTAATGTAAAATGTTTACATTTTAATGTTTAAAATTGGGTGCTATTTAGAGGGGGCGCTATAGACAGATTTAGCTGTATATAAGAAGAAACTAGATTTCTTCTTATAAGATTTCTTGAATATGTGAATTATGAGAAAAATCACTGATGATCTTACTAGACAAATCAACAAACAACATTCTTCCCACAAAACACTGAGAAACTTAAACCTGCTTATGTTTGCCAAAATAATTTGACAGTTTTATCATGTTTCTTGAAGATGGGAATCCTTGGAAGATTGCAAGATGGTCGCTGCTACAACTAGAAAAGTCACATTTGTGACACCTTGATGCATAATAACAGTTCTTCTGAACATGTCTGATACGTTCACATTTATGGAATTGTGTAAAGGAATTCTGAATTTTAAATTGTTCAATCTCTCTATGATAGAGAACTCTCTAAAAGCCCAAATTAGCGTGTTATTGTGTGTGTGTGTACTTAAAAATAAAATAATATTAAATTTTCAATAATTCATCTCGAGAATATCTCAGTTAAAGACGCTTAAGACATTGTACAAGACTCTAACAATGCAGAAAAATGTACATACGCAAAGGAAACTCTGTTCAATACTTTCATAAGAGATAAAAAAAAATTAAATTGAAATATTGAACGCAGAAATAGAGGGGAGAAATGAGAAACCAAGTCAACCTTTGCAAAACTTGAGTCTGCTAGCTTGCAAATACGGTGAATGATGCATAGTATTGAGTCTATTTTGGCGGTAAAGATGCTCTTTCTTTTCCCATAAACTAATTTACATATTCATTACCTCAGTACGCACAGAAATAAAACTTCTATCAGCCGCATTCAGTTTCTACACACTGAATCCCTTGTAATCTAAGCTCACCGTGTCAAATTTGTTTATGTTTATAAACAGTAAGGACTCATTTAAAATTTAGGAAATTCTCTAAATATTCTATGATTTTCTCTCTTGGTTTAAAAACTGTAATTGATAAACTATGTATTTGTATTATTTCGTTGGTTTTTCCTAAGAAAGGTGTAAAATCAAGCATGATTTTTTAATGTTATTTTTCTTTCTTCTTTAAAATTCTACTCAAACCTTGTAATTCAACAACAACAAAAAAGCCTTTATTTAGGGTCACTGACCCTATACAGGATTCACCAGAGGTATGCATAAGAACAAAGCAGTGAGACAACGGAAATAGCGATATATACAGAGTAAAAAGAGAAAGAAAAAAAAAAAAAAAACAAGAAAAGGAAAAAAAAAAAAAAATAATAATAAGAAAGAGGGAAGCAAGAAATCAACACAAAAAGAGTAGCAGTAAGAAAGTGAGGAGTGAGTATCACTTGGCCTTCTTCTGAGATATGGACTTGTGGAAACCATAAAACGCCGTAGCAATATACTTATTCTGGGTCATATTGTCAATTATTGATGGAAGTGAAGCACAGAGTTGCCCAGTTTTGAGCATAAGGGTTCTTCTTTCTTCTTTCAGAGCAGAGCAATCAAAAATATAGTGAGTGATTTCATTTTGTAGTTTTGAATTACAGAAGGTACAAGTCGGGTCCTCACCGCAGAGCATCTTGGTGTGGTTTTCTCTAAAAAAACTTGAAAGTATTCTAACTTGTGCGAGTAGTCTTACAACCGGGAAAGGAAAATCCCCTAAAAGGTATCCCTCCGTCATGAAAGATATGTGAATGTCTTTGTAGTGAGAGTATAGCTTAGATTTATCCATTCTTGTAAGGTCGTTTTGTATAGATTGGTCTGCCGCTGTTTTTAAGAGCCCTGTAATCGCGCTCCTCAGCGTTTCAGGGTCATCACAGGAAACAAGTGCAGGGGATCCATTATCGTTAAGCAGATTAGTGAGCTTTTTAATGAAACCGATGGGTGTGCCCGAAGCATTAGAGAGTTCCCGTGTTCTATTAAAACATATACGTGGCAATCTGTCACTGCTCATATTCAACACCCGCAGCCAATACTTCAGGGTTAATTTTAAGGCTGTTACACTCAATGAGATACGACCGGTTTCTAATCTGATTAGGTAACCTGGAGTGTATCTGGGCAGATTCAGGAACCTACGGATAAATATGTCTTGTATATTGTCCAGTAAGTCTTTATGCTCTGTTGCCCATAATGGAGCGGCATACATCAGGACAGCTCTCACTATTGTATCAAAGAGTTTGATTGATAAATTTATTGACTTTGCTTTTGATTTTATTAATATTGGGTGTGTGGCGTTAATTGCTGTAAGTGCTTTTCCTTTAAAGTAATTTGCCGGGTGAGTAGTTGTTATTGTTGGTGTCAGAGGGAATCCCAAGTATGTATATCTTGAAGTTATTGCTATGGGTTTATCATTCCAGAACCATCTATCCTTATTTGAGGGTTTACCTCCATTACGGAACACCATAATCTTTGACTTGGACTCATTTAGTGTCATTAAGTTCTCATCGAGATATTCTTTCAGTATTTTGATCTTCTTTTGGAGGTTTATCCTGGACTCACCTATAATTGCTATGTCGTCGGCGTACAGCAATAAATGGATATCTCCAAATTCTGGCAAATTTACACTCGGCAGGTCTGAGTTATTATAAATTTCGATTAAGTCCGTGATAAATAATATAAATAGCAGTGGGGAAAGTGGTTCTCCCTGGAGGACTCCCGAGTTTATCTTAATACTTTCCGTAAATGATCCCTTCCATCTGATAGCTATAGTTGCTTGTTCGTAGTAACTTTTGATCGTACTTATGAATTGGTAACTTATGCCTAGGTTGTAAAGTTTTTTCCAAAGTAGTGAGTGGGGTACAGTATCAAATGCCTTCCTTAGATCGACAAAAAAGACATATAGTTTTCCCCTCTTTTTTCTTAATGATAGTTGGATTAAAGTAGTTAGTGTAAATATGTGGTCAATACATGATCTTTCTTTTCTAAATCCCGCTTGGTTTTCGGGTATAACCCTTCTTCCTTCGACCCATTCCTCCAGTCGTGATCTTAGGATTGATGTGAAAAGCTTTGATACATTGCTAATCAGTGCAATACCTCGGTAGTTGGAGGGGCTGTTCTTATAACCATTTTTAAAGATTGGGTGTATAGTGGAATTAGTCCAAATTGCTGGGTATTTTCCAGTCGTCATAACACTATTGTAGAGTTGTTTCAACAGCAGTATGTACGAATCAGGGAGTGTTTTTAATACTTCATTGGGGATGCCATCGGGCCCGCATGCCTTGTTACTCCTCAAACCAGCTATCTCCTTGTATATGTCTGCATTGGTTATCTCTGAGTCCAATATAGGATCGTTCTGAGAAATCACATTATGTAAATTACAAATTCTCAAATTTTTCTCTGTAGTCATTAGTTCGCGGTAAAAGTTCAGCCAGTCCTGTATAGATATTTCTCCTTGGATTATAGATGTGCTTTTGTAGAGCGCAATAGTTTTCCAGAAGGTCTTTGAGTCTTTAGCATTTCTGAGTATTTCCTGTTTTTCATTATCAAAGCCTTTCCTTTTTAGATCCAATAAAGCGAGATATTTCTTTCTGGAAGAAGCATAACATTCTCTGTCTTCCAATCTATTTGTTTTACGATATTTCTTCAGACTTTCTTTTGCCAGTTTTTTCATATCATAGCAGTCCTTATCGAACCACGGCTTAGATTTCCTGGGGCCGCCCTTAATTGAGTAGGTTATTTTTGCAGATGACATTGCTTCCAAAATTCGCTGATTGAAAGTGTATACAAGGTCATCGGAGGCTGGTATGTTTTTTTCCCGCAATTCTTCCAGTTTCATTTTAAACATTGCGAGTCCATCGGCTGACCATCTATATCTCGTAATATTATAATCTTCCCGTTTGGTTTTTTTCTCATTGAAGTTTTGGCCTTTTATCGTTAAAACCAAAGGATGGTGGTCTGAGTACAGTTGGTCATCGACTTTGAAGTCCAGTAAAATTTGTAGTGAACCCTGTGAGAGTATGCAATAGTCAATAGTTGAAGAGCCTCTTTCGGATATGTATGTAAAATCTCCATCTTTATCACCTCTAGATCTTCCATTAACTATTGTCAAAGAATTATCTTCCAGGAAATCAAGAAGTTTATTAGACAGAGATGATATTATATGATCTTTAGCCCTTCTTTCCGATGTTAGGGGAAGCTGGAAATTAAGTGGATTGTGTAGTCCTCCCAACTTCCCAGTTCTGATGTTTAAATCTCCAAGTAAAATAATTTCTTTTCCATCTGCTATTTGCTTTTGAGTGTATGTAAACAGCTTATCTAAGTTATGCAGCTGTATTTGGTTTGGAGGAAGGTATACAAATATTAAACAGATAACATGTTGGGGGGCTCTTGTGTTTGTTGATAAGAAAATAGATAACCAAGTGCCATCCTTTTCAGAACTCTCTACTCTATATTTCCCGCCTTCCCTAAAACCGACAATTATACCCCCTGACCCTCTTCCCCTTCCAGATTCTTTGGTGGCAGGTAATTCGATAATTTGATAATCTTTTAGTGTTATGTTAGTCCTGTTCAGGCACCATGTTTCAAGTAGAGCAAAAATTTCGTAGTTCTTTATGTGCTCGAGGAGTGGAAATATCGAAAGAATCCTATAGAAACCATTTATATTCCAACATATTATTTTTTCGGCGATGTCTCGCGAATTTTCAGAAAAATTTGCATTGTCATCGTCTTGA